CATTTGCAGCCCTATTTTTTAGTTTTCTATTAATTATTTTGATGACAAACTAGTGATCGATGAAATTTTTAAAGTGTTAGAACAAATGTCGTTTAAATCTGCGATCGGTATCAAGCACAACTACTTTACACATAAATTGATTCTACACAGTTCAACACAAGATGTAATTAATAATCGATCTTCGTACAAGCAACCTAGCACTGAAACCACTATTGGGAAACTGCAGAAAGCATCACATGTATAGTGAAAAATAAAAATAAAAACTAATTTTTTAAAAATAAATTTATTGAATCATCGTGCGATGATCGGGAGCAAAAAACTTATAAGCGATAAAAATAGCATAACTACATAGAATGGTAGAGACATTCTCACATAGGGAAGATCATATATCCCATAATCTGTAGATCTAGTCCATGGATGAAGGAGCTCTCACAAACTCCTCTATAGTAATGATCTACACAATCGATGCGGTGATGACGCACCTCCTCACATAGCACATTCCTTCCTCGCGTTTGTGCACCACCATACCACAGCAACTAAGGAGGGATCGGTCCCTCTTATTATCCTCTCACACTAGAGAGAGCGTAGTTGACCGGAGGAAGAGGCAGAGAGAAGATAAAAGGAGGTGGAGATAGCAAGGGTCTAGCCTATGATCCTTTAAGCCCCTAACTCCTATATATAAAGAGCCCTCTTGCTTACCCTAATGGATCCTACCTTAATGGGTATTGGATATCTATCCAATTATTCTAGCTTAATAGATATTGGATCCTCATCCAATAACCACTCTAAGCCCTATTGAGTCTCACCCAAGAATCTATTAAAACAAGGGTTTATCGGATATCCTATATCTAATCCTCTATTCATCACGTTGTCCACCGTGTGTGTGACCATCTAAGCCTAATACCAAGCTAAATGTAAGTTGCACTTGTCCAAACTCCTTTTAACTTAGTGAATTATTATCTCCATAATAATTCACTCAACTCATCAACTATAGACGTACTACGCCACTATGCCATAATTCCTAGATGATATAGGAGAATCTAATCAATTGAACTTATTTACCTTTAGTTATTATGTATCTATAATCCCTCATCCATCTAATATCTCAGAGATCGTATACCAGATATGGTATTGTCAAACTCATACGAAATTCATTTGAGTCTCACTCTAACAGATTCTCCTAGAGAACTTCTCTCACAATCTGAATCTTATACTATTGGATTAATCATAATCTGATTAACCATGATCAATGATTTGCTTGAGTAAGAATACATGAGATATTCCTCTCATGATACCGAGAGTGGATGATCTTTTATTGAGATACAATTGTCTTCGTAAGATTAGCTATCACTCCCAATGACTGACTGTGCTAGATTTAAAAATTTTAGACTTATAAGTCCAGTATCATAGAATGGAGTATTCAAATAATGCATCCTTGGTGTCTGAAGTTTGAGGACCAAATACACAATTGCCACCACGGAATCGTTATTTGACGATGAGGTATCATTAACCATCTAACATTCTATAAACGAATCATTCAGTAAACTTATTCTCTGATGAGCACATGCACTATATCCCTAGTGTCCCCACATAAGCAATTATGAGATCAACTACATCCATCGTATGGACAAGTATATAGTACACTAGTTTGTCCGGTTATCTAGATGTCCCTTTCGAATAACTTATGACCGAGAATGTTTGGTCTCATTATCATGATCTAATTCCTATTACACACATATATATATGTATATA